CAGCCAGGAAAAGAGACTAAGGCAGAGATAGAGGCAGCCTGTAACCCCCCCACCCCCAGGTCTAGGGAGGTGGCCCTGGACTTCCACATGAGAAATCACAGATCATGTAGAGATGAGGAAAGAAGGGGTCTGCTCAGTCCTGTCTGGAGAAGCAGTCGCACATGGGCATGAGAAGGACTGGCAGCAGTCCTGGAAGGATCCCTAGGCAGGGTGCTCAGCCCTGCTCTCCGCCAGCAAATGGTGGGATGCCGTTCACCTGAGGCCGGCTTTGTTTGGGCAGAGGTGAGCGCTGGCAGCAGCTCACAGCTTTCACAACTGCAGCTTCTCCCAGCGTGAGTCACTAAAAGGGGACCACAGGGAAAAGCCAACACCGACGTCAGCTTTAGCCTGCCTCTTGGCCGATGGCTTCATACCAGTGTATGGAGTAACTGACGGGTACCTTTAATTCTAGCTTTGCAATAAGCATTGCTATATGGCGGGGAAAGGATTGTGAAATAAAAGTTACCACTAAAACTCCATTAGTAACGATGTTTTCAGGAGGATCCGGACTAAAAGACAAAATGGAAACATTCAGTTCAAAACCAACACTCTTTTTTTCTGTTTGTTTACTTGTTTTTTAAACTCTTCTTTAATCACTATTTCATAATCTTTATCTTTAGAAGTCTGTCTTTGGACAGGCAGCATGGACAAACAGCATCAGAAATTCTTGCTGGACATTCAATCCAATTTGCCTCTGCCTAGCTTGAGTCGGAACATTAACTATTTATGGAGGTCTGCTAAATGGAGGAACTCCTCACTATCAGACTGGATTGTTTTCTGACACACTGAATTTACACAGGGATGGCATAATAGCACTATTGCCCTGTATTGCTCTGTTCAAACCTGGTGGATCAGAACTGAAAAGCTGGTGAATTCACCCAACATGCCATAACAAAAAAGAAAAAAATATTGCCATTTACCTTAAAAATGAACTAGCAGCACTAGGACTGATTGATTTAATGCTGATTCTTTCCATTAACTGTACAGTCAGCATAGAAATTCAATTACAAAACTTTTTTATAAAAAAGCAAACATCTGGGATCCCACAGTAAGGAGCAAGAAGTGTTTGAAACCTAAAACTTCATCCTATGCAGAATGCCTCTTGCAGCCTGGTGAGCAGCAGCCATGAGGGACATCTCTCTGCTCCCATCAGCACCTGTGGTAGCTTCTCCATGTATCTGGTTGCCCAGCCTAGATCCATCATCACTGTCACGCACCCTTCTCCATTAAATAACCTACACAAGTATTTCCTGAACACACAAAGTTCCCAGTATGTGGTTTTTTTATTTATTTTATTTTATTTCTAGTAGTTTATTCAGATAGTGACAGTGATAGGGCGCTGCAAGTGTAAACTTATGTTTTGTGTCAGTAACATTTTGTCTCTGGCTTACATTTCTATTGATCACCTATTTGACCTTACCCACCTGCTCTCCATTGTGAATTCAACCTCCAGCTCCTCTTTTCCCTGTGAAAGAAAATGAACACAGTCACTACAGGTTGATTCTCCTGTCGAGAGAGATACCCTACAGGAATCTGTAACCAGTGTCCATCTTGTGTTACTACACGTGCAACCGTTTTTATTTTCTTTGTGTCCTATCCGCTATACTCCTGGTATCATGTAATTCCAAAGTCATACCCATTATTTTAGCAGACTCCTACTTTAGGCCTTGCAAGGCCAAAACTAACACATACTGCTGGGCCTCTTGGCGGTTGTTCCCCCTTTCTGCAGCAGTAAGTTCACCCTTCACTGTTTCACAGGCCACCTGCATTTCCCCTCTTCCTTTTTCTCCCACAAGCTCTCTATGTTCCCCACTGATTCCCAGCATGAACAAGGCTGGATTTCTCTGCTGCATCCCAATCACCCTGCTCCTCACCCACAGCCTGTGCAGCTGGGCCTGGTGACACATTAATGTGGTGGCACACGTGGACATACGAAGCCCAGGGTGTACTTTGGTTTGGTGGAGTCTGCACATGTAGACTCATTGCATGCTCAGTCTTCATCTTCGTCGTTTTTAATTCCTCTTCCCTGAGATTTCCTTTCTCCTTCAGAGGTTTTGGTAAAACTCCCATTATCTTGTTGACCCCTAGTGTGAGCACTAAGGAAAATACAGCAGGGAGAGCCAGCCTTTCCAAAACAGGTCTCAAAACAAATCAGTACTCACAGAAGTAAAGTATATCTAGGCCTAAAAGCACTGTCCTTAAAGCTTCAGTATAAAGTTGTCTCAAACTTATGAAACCAAGACCAGCTGAAAAACTCACTTATGAATATTGAGTTTGCAGCTTAAGACTGCAGATCATTAGTTTTGTATTAGCAGAACTTAATGCATGGCTCAGAACACCAGCTCCCACTGTAAAGGGACACCTAAAACTGTTGGGGTAAATAGATATTTTGACATCAAGGACAGCAACCAGACAATCAAGTCCAATAATGTTGACCAACTGTGTCTGTACAAGCAGCACCCAGAATTTGCGGTAATTACAGAAGCAACACTGGGTATCAAGCCCTGAAACAGATGCACATACTCAGGTGGCTAAACAGGCAGCAAGAAAGGCTTGTATATAGGACAGGCAAAAGGAAATGTCACCACATTCTCACCTGATAATGCCCCCTTAGCTTTGTCCTTGAATTTTATCCATACCTGGGGATTCAACTGGAAACTGAGCTGAATGTTTTCTCCAAGCTGGATTTTGGAGACATCAAAGAATACAGTGAGGAGATGATCATCTTCAGTTACCTTGTCCTCATCACAAACTTTCAGCTCCAGAATGTTCTGTAATTAAAAAAAAAAAGATTGCATAAGGATTAACAAACATAAGATGCTGCAGAGATTTCGTTTTAGCTAAAAGAATTTGGGAAAGAAGTTCAAGAATGAAAGAAAAGGCAACAGTAAACTAGAAATTTTGCAGTTGCATTCTACAGACAATTGACAACTCAGGAAGATTCAGTTTTATCCAATCACTGAAAGCTAAATAACTACAGTGAGAGAGTGTGAATGCGCCGTAATGGAACTGAGAGAGACCCACAGCACAGAAGGTTTGATATCTGGTAAGAATACCTGTTGAGGATAGCCACTGTTCTTACCTTAACCTGGCTCTGAATCACGAAGTGGAAAGTTTCATTCCACGTTGGGTTCTTGCTATTCTCCACTGTCTTGGTGCGGAAACGCTGCACTGAAGCTGTTGGTAGGCTTAGGCTCACGTAGCAGTCTGACTGGGTTACTGTTGAGGAGAGGGAAAGCATGAAAGTGATGGACAAATGAAACACATTCAGTGCCCTGTAAGGTGTTGTACTGTGTGAATTTTTAAGTTCCGTACACAGGACAATATGCAGAACACAGGCCAGGATGCTAGCTAAGGTGCCATCAAAGTCAGCGCTAGACAACCAGTTTGCTTTACACTTTGTGAAAGCCTGACAGTTCGCTCTTCTTGAGAACTACTTCTTTTGATTGCTGGAAAAACAATAAACATTCAAAATATGCAGTTACATTGCATTACTTTTCAGAGATACATAGCCAGACGACCTATATGTATCTGACTTCAAAGGCTTTAACACTGATGAACCATCCATACACGCAGGGGCACACACACGCGTGATAACCTCATAGGGCTAGGCACCATTGATGGTTCAGCTGCCTGTCAGGTACACGGAGCAGATAACATTAAGAGCTGTTATGGGGCCTGCTAGACAGACAAAGGCCAGCTCATACATAGTGGCCTTCCATAGGTAAGCATGGACATGTCTTAATGTTTCTGGGGTAGCTCCAGCTGTAAGTTCCATCTTGTCTACTTTTTGGAGCATCCTTTCTTTTCTCTAGCACATCTAGCTGCCAATGCAGTGGCAACAAGATTTAATTTCACTGAAAGTTCCCATGAAGCCCATTTCTGTCACAGAAGTCAGGTCTTCCACCATGGCACTTGATCTCAGTCTGGCTTCTTCCCTTTTGGAGAGCTAAAGAAGGGAACACACACATATACCATAGAGTTCAACAACAGAGCTTTTCAAGAAAAAAATACTCAAAAATAAATTAATCTTCTGTGGAGAAGATGGATTGTATTTAATCGTCTGTGAAGTGGATTAAAATAAGCACACATAAGAAAAGTGTTGAAATATTGAACAGTCTGTTGGTGTGGTATTTGGTTTGAGAAGCAGTGGTCCTGAGGGAGAGTTTTCACCAGTAAAGCTGTATAAAAAAATATTGCTTAATGCAATTATTCACCTGCATCTCTGTGCCTCAGCCAGAGAAGGATAAGCATATTTGCAACACTTGACAGGCAGGTGAAAGCTTGTCTGTGCTTCCCAGCTAAGAAAGAGGTGACATTGCTTCTTTGCACAAGATTGCGTTGCTTTAGTTTTGCTGTTTCACTGAGAGGTGTGTTCAGGTCATAAAGTTCACCTATGAATTTCAATGTTTCCAGAGGTAAGGAGGGCAGTTTTAGTAGTTTCATTTTCCTTTCCCAGATGAAGAGGCCAGTTGTAAAGTTTGGATTCCCACCTGAGCTCCATTGTAGCTGAGGGATGTTCAGGACCAAAGCTTCAGTGTGAAACAGTAATTAGCAGCAGTCTGCACTGCTTACATCATCAACAAGAACTTTCATTCTGAAGTCAGAATAATGCGTCTGCAGATATGTTTTGTTGTAGTTATTAAGAAACAAAAGGCAAATGTGAAAAATGAGATTAACAGTCCTGTGGACCCACACTCAAAAGTCAGGGATGATTATCCTGTAGAACTCGATCTACTAGTTACGGATGACACCGAAGTGCCAAAGATATTGTGGGGGAGTACTGTCCATAAATGTCAATCTCATCATTAACATTGTATTTCCTGTATTTGTAATGCCACCTACTTGAGCATTCCTTAGACACACCTTCATCTAACTATACTGTCTTGTCCCACTTAGTGTTACTGGCAGATCTGACTTTGGGAAACACAGAGTAACTGACTCGGCCCTTTATCGCACCTTATGTGTAAATGAAGAATTAACAAAGTCAAACTTTTTTTTGTTTTTCTGCCTCCCCTGAGACTTAAGTCATCTTTGTTTAAGTAACTCTGAACAAGCAAGCAAAAAAAGAGTAACTTTGATTAATAGAGTTATGGTATATACAATATACAGTATATGAATTGCAAAAAAGAAAAATACATGAAAACACATACAAATCACCCAAGTTTCTAACAGTCCTAATCACTCCCAAACTTTTGTGTGTATACAGGACATGTCCATATGAAAATCCTTGTTGGCTTTTGGAAATCTACGTTGGTATTAGCACAGACTGCTGTCAGACCTTGTCCTGACTAGGAGGAGGATGAGAAGGACCCAAGTCCTTAAATTTGTGAGCAATCCAAAATTTATTTCGTTGACATTTCCCAAATAGCAATACGTGCACTGACTAGGTCTGTTATGAAAAACAAAGTATTGCTTCGAAAGTCCACTAATTTTTTCTTTTCTGCAAGTGATCACTGTCTGCTACAGCACTGTATCGTACACCTTTAAGAAATAACTGCTTGTCAGACAGCAGAGCTCTGACTTCTCTTTTCAGATCTCTGACTTTCTCTGTGGGACTTCTGGCGCAGCCACTAAACAAGCATGTTTCCCTCTTCCCATCTGCAAAATGTGTTTGGTGACACCTTTTGTACTTCAGAGGTGTCCCCTGAAACCTAATTGCCTCTTCTTCATTAAGTATTTTCCAGATATTATAAGAGAGGCACTTAAAACACCCAGGAACCTTTTTTACGCATCTCAGATACCTCAGGCCTATATTCTGCTGGACCAGCTCCAGGCACAAGTAGATGTGAAAACTGGAGCTCCACAGCACATCCCGTGTCCAAGCCAGTTGGTCGTGCCATGATATCCCACGACCTTGTATCAAGCGCCTCTTCACATATATGCACAAGGTTCCCTTTGCCAGCCACGTACAGGCAAATCGTCATTACTGTGGTACGTAAGGCTAACCACCACCTAACTACAGCGATTATACTTACACATGGTACACACAGCAGAGCTTCAACAGCGACCTGTTGTTTCCCTCCCCTGGACCACTACACGTGAGCAGCCATCAAGAGTGCTTGGGGTGGCAGCTGTGGTATCACTGTGGGGCAATATCCTGCCAAAAGCAGGCGTGGGAGCAGGTGTTTATGAAAGCATGGTCTCTTCGTCAGTTGTTACACTAAGTTTCTAATTATCTTCCAGGATAATAGCAGGACTGGATCTTAATTGGTTTTTACCATTAGAAAGCATTACAGCAACATGACCCATGCATAGCCTCAGCACCATGCTGCATCCCAGACAGCGGGGCACGAGCTGTTCTGTCTCAAGCTAAAATCTCATGGACAGCTCAAATGCAAACAAGGCTAAACCAAAAATTAATCATTTTAATTCTACCTCCTTTTTTTTGGTGCTAACAGACACAAACTCCAGCCTAGTTGTAACCTGGGCAGAAACCTGAACATCCTCCTCTTCTTGAACTGCCTTTTAGTGCTCAGATTGAGGCTATTTATACAGGGTAGATTTTTTCATGACACTTAGGATATCGTTTTTCTTATTGTGCTGAAATGATCTGAACCAAGAATGTGGCCTCAAGCACCATTTGCCGATATAGTCTTCCTGATCATGTCTCCCCACACTCGGAGCCATCCATGTCACAAAATATAAAATATCACCACCAGCTGGGAAAAGGATTTTTTTCTTCCTCCCACACTGTGGAGCTGAGCAGAGATCTGGCTGATGGTGGGTGGACAAGCAGGCACAGAATATTATATCATTTAGATAATTGGAAGTTTTTATAGTCTTTTTTTTTAAAATAAGAATGTGGGTTACTTCTGTGAAAGCAAACATCATCTTTCTCAATGCGCTTCAGAGTCAGACTATCAGAATTCATTCAGTCCTGGGAGACCAGTTCCTGCCTCCAGGGAGCATTCAACATTAATCTCCTAATAGCTGAACTTCAACAAAAAGCTTTCACAGTTCCTCCCACCCTGCCCTTCACATTGGGTGGAGCATCCTACAGGTATCCCTAAAACAGTACCAGTAGTCTCATTTACATCCCTCCCTGAAATATCCTTTACTGAGATGTTGCTAAATAAACTTACTTTTTTTCCCCTGTTTTCTCCCTTGTTGTGCTTTATCAGTCCACATCCTCTTATTTCATAACAAGATTTCAAGCACCACCAAGAACAATAGGCTGTTGATGTGTAATTGCAACTGCTTAAATGGTGAAGTAAGTAATAAATAACAATGAAACAATAACAGCAACGCAAGGTCAAAACACTGGAGGAAGTCTGTGGGTTCCTGCAATAAGTATCACATTGGACCGTAGCTCCTCAAACAATAGTGCATTTCACTGACTATATTTCTTTTCAGGCTCTCAAGGGCCTTTCCATGAATTGATCTCACATGTGGCAGAGCTGCTACTGCAATGCCGTAAAATACGTTTTTTGAAAAAAATGCAAAACATAATAATTTTATAAAATACTGTACCAAAAAAAGTCCAAAACTTGAAAGTTCCCAAAATTAACAAACCTAATAAAAAAAAAGTCCACAAAACCTTCAAAACAAAAAATAATTTTCTTACTAAGAAAATGCTGAAGAATATTTTTAACTCTATGCCAGTCAAGGTCCATTTAGCCCAGGACCCACAGGCAGTGTCCACTGAAGGCTCTTGGATGTTTTCAGAAAGCAGGGAATGATGGCTTAAAATAGCTCAGCTCAGTGTCCCCACGCAGTTGCCTATTTTCATCTTTTTGTTTAACTCTTAACGCTCTGTTTATTTTTCTTTTCTATTTCTAAATTCAACTTAATGGTTTTGTTTCTCTCCAGTCTCTTGTTCTTGAGCTTCTTTGTCTGTTTTTGGGAAGAATCTTTGGTCTTGTAAAGGATGGACGTCAGTGCCAGAGGAGAATATGACTTGTATTTGGTGGTGGGTGTCTAAGGAAGAGTATATGGGGCAAGCATCATATAAAGCACTCTCAGCCCTCACAATTTAAGATTCAGAGACTTCCTAAGCCAGCCTTCACTGGATTTTTCTTCTACGAATTTGTCCAATCTCCACCTGGAACGCACAAAAACTTTTGGCATCCGTGATCTCCTGCCGTGGGGACTTCCCAAGCTGAACCACATGCTGTGAAAAGACGTGTCCTTCTGTTTGTTCTGGTGCTTTGGTGGTTGTCCAAGGACTGTGAGAGGCTGAAATTCGCTGCAGACAAAGCTGCATTTTTCAGGGTGAGTTGGACTGGTGTATATCCAAGTCTTACCCCATTAGGGACTCAGGACACAGATGGGACACACACCCAAATCTGGGAATTGGCAAGTGTTCACAGGTCCAGGAACATCAAGAGCCCCAACGAGTCTGATGGGAATGTGGGTGTGCTAAGTGGGAAGGGGGAATGTGGAGAACACAAACAAGGCACTAAATCCACAGGTGGTATCAATGATATCAGCTATGCGGCAATACACAATTAGAAACTAGTATTATATTTACACACTGATGGATCAGTGGGAAGAGGAGACAGAATAGCACAAGGGTGCATTAAAAAGATACATGGTTTAAAAACCAGAATGAAACAATTTAAATTGTCTTAGATAAAAATACTATCTTACGCACTGAACTGCCATTAAAGATCATATATTCTCTATTCCATGGGAGATGTTAGTGAGGTTTTGAAAGTCTATTGTTATGGATTAATTTTCCCATCTCCATTACCTGGAAAATGGAGCAGATGATAGACCAATAATCTGCAGCACCAGGTTGGGAGACCATCTAAACACTAGGTGAGTATTAAACAAAGTTATCAAAAAACTTTACAGAAACCTAATGCAAGAAGGGATCTTGAGAGGAGAAAATAACAAAACGCCGTTCACTTTGGAAACAAAAGGACGGGCACAATTGGTGTGACAGAAAAGGAGCTGATTTAAAATGTTAAAAATCTGTAAGATGACTGAGAAATAGATGGCACTTACCAGCTTGTTCTATCTAGAAAAGTTTGCAGGAAAGTAATAAAACAACTAGGAAAAGGAAGAATGAGGGGAAAAAAAATATTAGGAAAATGGTACCATAAAGAAGCCTACATTGTTGGTGCTGGAGGTCCACATACTTCCGGGTTTCCTAAGACTGTGTCATGCTAATCTCTAGGGAACTGTAAAGATGACTGAAATGACTGAGCAATATTCCTCTGGTTTTATACATAAACCAGCAAAATTTTGTACATGTGGTAGATTTCTTAAGCCGCCCATTTTGCTGTTTCTCAGTGAAAGTCATACAGTTACCAACATGCGATTTCCACTAGCTTTTACATTGCCAGTGAGTTTAACCAGAGGTTAAATTAATTTCTTAAAACATTTGAAATACAGGTTTATTTTGCACGATAAAGAGTGTGTCATTGAAATATGTGACTTCTACGAGTCTGGCTGCATAGAAAACTATGTTCTGAAATGGTTTAAAAGCAGATCTTTCTGATAAATGCAAGTGACAAAATTTACACTCAGAAAAATCAAATGTTACTGGAATTCAGCAGCTGTCAATCAAAACTAGATTCAACAACTAAGTGTAAGCAAGGCAGTGCCATGACTGGTATGATTTTTTTTTTCTACATGGTGGAAGTACTCAACAAGAAAAGCATTCACCTTTTCCAAGTATTGGTTTTATTTTGTGCATGCAAATTTTGTTCCCATCAATATTGTGACTGATACTACCGTTTCAAACAGATGATAGCTTGACAATGTTGGTGGTGAATGTCTATTGTTCTGTGTTGCGGGCAACACCTAGTATATGCGTCACAGTGCAAGGCAGAACAGCCTCAGCCTGGAAAGCCTGTGCTATGGCTTTACTGCTGCTCCAGACCCTGTGCCGTGCTCCAAAAGCATCTCTGTCATTCAAACACTCCTTTAAGCACAGGCTGGTGTTACATGTCTTGGACTGGGAAGCAGAAATGCTTGACCATTTCAGCACCTGTCCCTTGCCCTAAGAACTTTCTAGTATTGGGAAGGACAGTATCAACACATAGGAACGCCCTTCAGAATAAAAATAATTTCAAGACAAAAACAAAAAGCATTGATATAGACGAGAAAAAGGTGGAGAGGAAGTTTGGTAAACTCATTATCATGCAGATGGTTTAACAGAACATGATTACGTGGGGAGATATTTAAGGGCTGTATTTTTCCACACCTTTTTCTTTCAGTTCAGAGCGCACATTTGTACCTTCAAATAAGCTTTGATTGTGGCAAGGGATTTCTCTGCAGCCTATAACACGGGTTTAAATCTCCTTTCTGCACTTTAGTAGTAGTCCAGTGGGACGGTTCATACAGACTCTTCTTCCTCATACATTCAGCAACAACAAAGCATCTTACTTCAATCAAAATTGGAGTGAGAAACTCTTCTTTATATTCCTCTGGTCTCTAGAGAAACTATAGCAGAACTCAAAGCAAATCACTTTGGAAAGCTACAAACAAATGTCTTGTCTTGCATCATTTTAACTGAATAAATTTAGCTTGATCTGTTACTATAGAAGTTTTCTGGATTCAGACCTTCTTATTTGTATAAATTAATAAATGCAAGTCAATCTGCCACCTCCTCAGATTGGAGATGATCATCATTCACACCTTTTTTTTTCTAGTGCTTTGCAGTTCAGATATTTATGGAGCATTAATGAAGTTTTACATATCACTAACGGGCATTTCGTAAAAATAATAAAGAATAGAAAAAGTTAACAGTGTGAGCCCTGAACTAAGTTTTGAAACATGGCTGTTTCTATGGCTGAATCAAATTTGAGAGTCCATGAGAGATATCAAGTACGCAGTCCTGAGCTTACACCAAATATTCTGTGATAGGCCAAAGGGATGCACAGGGTGGATATCACTACAAGAATGAACCACAGATAGAAGTGTCCCATTTAAACTTCTTATTGCAGCCTTTCTTGTGAATAATAATTAAAAAAAAAAAATCTTTCTTTGCAGGTTCAGATGTCAAACACTTTATGCATTCTGTGCAAACCTCTTCTGAACTGCAACTGGTGGCTAGACTTCAGCGTTACACTGACAAAGATGTAAGAATAAACAATATCTTCTAACTATACTACCGCATCTTCAGCATACCACAGTCACGCATCTTCTCTCTTCTCCCCTTCTATAAATACTCTGTAGTGTTTGTAACACTTGGTTATATTCTGAGTAGTTTTACAAGTGTGCTGATACTCCAGCAGTATAGCAAAGATACTCACACAAGTCTGCTTTCCTGGCATTTTTCATCTGTATGATTTTTACAGTAAGCAAGTTGCATGGAGAGGGTTCTGTCTGTTGAGCAGTGTACAAAATGCGTGGGATGAGCATGCAGAGAGAAAGAACAGAAGCACAGTCAGAGATAGCATTGAATTGTTTCAATTCCAACTGTCCAAAACATTTCTGAAGTGAGGTTCTTCCTGGTGTTTTGTCTTCTTATTATTGCCAGAATGTTTTGCAGACAGGTGTGACCAGAGACCCAAAATGTATGTTCAATCACAGACCAAACCTCTGATGTCGTCTATTTTCCATTCTGAGGAAACTTGTGGTAATCCTCAACTTGAGGTGTCTGACTCTTACAATCCAATCAGAGAGAAATGTATGATATTGAGCCTTGCTGTGTTATTAATAGAGCTGACACACACATCTTGCTCTGTGCAAATTGAAAGGATGTCATATATATCCACTATATTTCACAACAAACAGCAGACAATCTAGCAGGACAGGCATTAGTAACGATATGGTGTAACAATGCTGCCCGTCAGCTGGTTTATAGCTATAAACTCCATTGTTATCTTTGATGCAGAGTAGTGCTGGCTCTCAGACAATGAAGACCTGAAAAGTGCCTTCCAGATAGCTATCAGAAGTGGGGAGTGAAAGCAACAACTCTGCAATTATTTCTCTCTGAATGATTTGGCTCATCCAATCTTCCTTTAAGCAAAATTCACAGGAAAGTATCAATGGAAATCTTGGGAAGCCACATAAACCTAAGTAGTTACCAAAAGACATTTAACAAACCTGCCAGGAAACTGGTTTGATTTTGCCATCCTCTCTCATCCTAAACAAGGATCAGACAAACATGGTATGTAATCAAATTATGGGGGCTGAAGGTGAGGTACTTTTTTCCTCTAGGTAATTGTCTTTCTTAAAGGAATAAAAGGAGGAAAACCTGCACATTTAGTGCTCTAAATAAACAAGCCAAAACAAACCCACAAATAATCAAAAAACGCTTAAAACCACAAGCAAAAAAACCCCAAACAACCAACCAAGAGGAGCAAAATTTTGTAGTGGTGCAACAAACACATATAAGAGATTGCTTATGCACACTACCTATAGAACAGGGAACATTACTGCAACGAATACATAGATCAATATATAACAGTGTGTCACCATTCATTCCCTTATACCCAAAACCTCCCACAATTTCTGAGCACAGTATATTTAACATCTCACATAACATTAGTTTCCTGGTTTTCCCCTTGCACTCATTGACATTAGTGATACCACCTCATTTTTCCTCAGTAGGTTGTTTTGCCAAGTCTAATTGGATGGAAGCAAAGGACATCAGCAATGTACAAAAGGATCTCTTCTTTTTTAATTTGAGATTTTCAAAATAGTTGAATTACTGCAGCATTAAAGTCCTTGCATTCCTGAAGGCCAAAACATAAAGTAGGCACAAAACAGAGGCAGAAGCCTTGCTTTGCTCTCAGCCTTGGTGCTGTGAAGAAGAAATCTCAGAGCTGAAGATACAGCAGGTAGACACCATGTCCTACAGCAAGTTCCCTCTGCCAACAAGGGGCTGCCTGCACAGCGCATCACAGAGCCTCCTCTTTCGTTTTCTTACCTGGCTCTTACTGTAGAACAGCCCCATTGTGGTCTTTCCTGCGTCCAAGCCAGGTGAGAAACGTGGCAGTGGATGGATAAAGAGGAGTCTCAGCCAGGCAGCTTCTCGTGCTTTAAGCTGCCAGGAGCAGTCAGGCAGGTGCGTTAGTGCCTGACTCAGCCCTGCCTCACCCCGCCGCCACTACCACTTGAGCAATCGCCAACTCCTCCTCCTCCCTGCCCAGGAGGTGAGTGCATGGTGCACACCTGCACCAAGGCACAGACACTCAGGCTCTGGCACTGCAGGATGGTCTTTGCAGCTGTAGTTCCAGGGTTATTGAGACCTGAAAGGGATCTTCCCTTCATAGTTACGAGTACTGAGCAAATCTTTTGTACTTTTAAGCATCCCCAACACCTCTTGAGGAGGCCACAGTGATTTTGCCCACTAGAGGGCTGCCAAACTGCATCCACTTGTGTGGAGGAGGCTGATGCCAGCCAGGGTCCATTTGCCTGCCCATGAGTGGGCACAAGGACATCTTTGGCTGAGGACATATGAACAAACCGATGTGCATAAAAAAGGCTTTTTGTAGCTTTTTATTGCCTATAGGGACTAGGTGAGTCTGCTTAAAGATACATCTGAAAATTTTTTTATCCCTGTCTCACCTTCCATTTTGCCCAATTCAGCCAGTAAGCTGTCTTTCAGCCAAGCAGATATTGCAGTGACAAATATTGCATGAAACAATTCCCAAATCTCCTATTGAAACTGTAAAAGAGTTTCCCTTATAAAGGCAAATCTTTAAAAGCTCACTCACTTCTCAAAAACTTTGTTACTTTGTGCATCTGCATTAAGGTGCTTCAGTGAATGATCTCAAAGAAGATATATGTGGGAGGGTGAAATTCATGTTGAAATTAATATTAATTATTCTTTGTGTTCTCACGTATTCTTTACATCCTTGCATTTATAAAGCTTCACGGTACATGGCACTGCACATCATATGAGGTGGTCCCTGTCTCAGCAAGGGAGTACACAAAGCGAGTACACAAGTAAAAAAATCGGAGATTTTTTTTTTTAAAAAAAACATCCATGCTATTATGAAATTTAACATAAAATTCAAATTCAAAATAATCTCATTTTACTTTGCAATGAATTGAGAACTCGTTGATAAAGGTAACTTCACAGACATGATATAATTTGCATTTCATAAAACATTTGGCATTTTAACACACTAGCTTAAGAACTAGATGCAACAAATGTCTCCCAGACAAACTTTAAACATATTAAGGATGGATAACTGACAGATCACAAAAAGCAGTATTCAAAGGAAGGTAGCCTCAAAGGAAAATATTCCTAGAGAGACTGCAAACAGCTCAGTTATAAGCTTATTGCATGTTTTTATCAATGATCTGGAAATTTAAGGAAAAAAAATCACTATTGTCACCCTGTTTCAAAAAGAAGATATTGAAATATTGGGGAAGCTGAAGGAAAGAGCTGCAGAATGATCTTGAGAGTAGAAAGAACTCCATCAGAGAGGGAAAGGCAGGTTTCCTATCAGCCAGGAGGATACAGTGCAGTGATAACCCCAAGGCTGACTTGGAGTCCAGCACACCTATGTCAGTACAGTAATTAGTCATGGCTAGAAGATGGGTTAATTAGCCCTGATGAAAGCAGGGTTAATCAGGCTTAGACTGTGTCATGCGCCTATCTGACTTTTTTCTGTCCTGTTGTGAAGTTCCCTGTATAAAATAGACTGAAACATCTTCCATCCTGCTCTGTTTCATTTCCAACAAAAAGGTCTTAGAAACCATGGGTGTGAAACAAAAGACATCTTTGGAAAAGACCCAGGGGGATCCCATGAGCTGACATTCTAGTGTTCTGGAGTTGAACCATAACTACAACTGCCTCACACATGGAGGGCTAATAATCTAGTTTTAAACATGCAACACTGTACCTGAAAACAGGGTTACACCATGCCCTTTCAAGTGTTTGAGGTGCATGAACACAATGAACTTGCCTATAGGTGAAAAATATGGCCCACTCCTCCTCTTCTACCCCCCAAATTGCTCTAAAATGTACCACCAGCTGTTTTTTCTTTTCCATAGGAGAGAAACTTTTTTCTCCTATCCATTTCCTAGAACTTTGTTCCATACAAACAAATTTGAAATTCTGAGCGTAACGAAGACTCTCCTGATCTCAACAACAATTCTGCCCTGGTGACTCAGTCTGAAGTTCATTGCAACAGTAGGAGCCTTTTATTATCAAAAGTATTATCTGAGCTGCAGTGACCAGTCTCTTCATGTATCACAGCTCCACAGTGCACGGCTGCTGTTGTGAAAGACTGAGCTTATGATCTGCCTGTTACAGAGCTGTGAGAAGAAAGCCTTTGGTAGCTACCTTCCCCTAGAAGACCTCTGGGATTTTTGACGATGTGGAACCACTCTTTCAGGTCAATCCCTGCAAAAGACCATTTGCAGGGAAGTGTTGAACAGACACAAAAAAAAAAAAGTCTGGAAGGACTCTCAGATGGCCTTCTTGCTCTGCCTTATTCTATGCAAACAGCTAGCAGACACTCTCCATCTTATGAAGCGCTGGGAGAAATTGCAAGGCCATCTTTCAGGACCAGTCAAGGCAGGTGAAGATGAGTGAGACAGGACAGCCAGCAGCAACTCCAAGAGAAAATGAAAGGAAAGCTGGGCAACATGACTACTACTTGGGCTGAATATAGGTGGTTCTGTGAATAGCAGCTCAGAGGACTCATTTGACCACCTGAAACAAAGATGACCTAATTCAGGTGTATTTTCTATTGATGGTGAAAACTATATAGATTTTTTACAACACTGATAGTAACTTCAGAAACTTTTTTCAAAGATTAGTGAAGGAAGCCAGTTAAATAAAACCTTTATAGCGGATAATCAAATCAGCGATGACAACCTTCGATAATTAAGATAAGACCAACACAATGGATTAGCAATTTGCCAGAGAAACTGCAGTTCAAGTTATTGCTGTTCTATCAGACAGAAAAAACCCCAAACCTATAAATACTGGTTTGATTCACATTTTTATTTGCTACATATTCCATACTATCTTACACAACACTATATTAATTTATATGGAATAAATATGTATCAATCGGTAGTGTAACAAGGTAGCAAAACTAAACACAAAATTGCTGCATTGAAGTTTGTTTTGGATTAAACCACTGGTAAATTCCAGTCTGTTCGGCTGAACAGTCCTGTAAATAGGATGAATTGGATCCATGATGATGTGATTTCTACTGTAAGTGTTGCTGGCAAGCATTAGACATCTTGATCTTACCAGATAACATACAACCCAAGAAATCACATGTAATGATGAAGTTAGTTGGCAGTGCCTAATAATTCCGCTGCTTCCTCAGTGCCACTGCCAAGCGCAAGGCCCGAATAATCAAGTTCTCATTATTCACAATGTTGTAATCAGTCAGTTTCACCAATTTGTCAAAATTCTCTTCACTGAAACACACCTCCCTTGTCGTGAATGGGGAGAGGATACTGGAGACATCAACTTTGCCTTCAGCCATCTCTTCAGGACTCCTTTCCACACCTGAGGGGCAAACCACAAGGAGATGTACCAATAAGGTTTTATTGCTGTACATGGCTCATATCAGTCATTTAAGTAATTACAGGTAGAAAAGGGACATTTGGAGGGAAAGATGATTTGCCAGAGGGATGTAGAAGTAGTCTAGTAGCACTGTATACTTCAGTCTCTGGATCAAGCCTCTGTCCAAAAATGATGTAAACCCAAACAGCTGGGAATGAGAACAACATTGATTACCAGCAGCAGCGCTTATAGTCCACTCCTTGGACAATAAAGTCTTTTTTACCCAAACTAGGAAAGTACAAGCGAGAGGAAAACAAGATACTCTTGTACTGGATGTTCACTGAAAGTTCAGGAGAAATGATGGCACTCAGAGGACACAGTTCATATTAAAAACTAAGATCTCTGTCCACTCAGGCCTTAATCTGCGAGATTTCTTTTGAATATCTGAACAAAACCCAGATGAATGGACTACCATGAAAACCTCCAAAAGGTTTTGCCTCCAGCTTTTCAAGCAGCAGTGCACACAAGTCCATGTCTGTACAGTAAACAAGCTTGTGTCGGAGACCTACCACCCATGCTGTACATACTTTGGAAGTTTTACCTTCATACTATCTCTAGTAAGTGCTGTGGAGTAAATGCCTACTTTCATCTCAAATGTATTAGGAAAGCTTCTGGAGTTCCCACAGTTCAGACATACTGACAGAGACCAGTTATTTTTGTCAGTAAAGAGACAGATAATCCTGGCATTGGAAAAAAGTAAGAGATGACAGTGAGATGTTAGATATAAAATGGAGAGGACACACTAGGCAAGTGACTTTTAATTAAAATTTCTAGCCACAGACGACTCACCAGGAGCTTTATATTTCTTGAAGGTGTCATTTACTAGGGGGAAAAAAAGCACTGTTGGAGCTTGTGGACTGTCAGAATCTTCAAACACATAGCACTCCTTCAAATTTTCCCTGTCTTCCTCACTTATCTCAATTTTGGGGAACGGAATTCCTTGCCCTGAGATGTACTTTGCGATCTGATCCAGTGGCTGGATGAATGAATAAAAGAAATAAAATTAATACAAAGAATCAAAACTCAAAAAAGATCCAGAGACCTGGAATTTTTAAACTCCAGCAGCTAACATGAATATTCTAAGGCTTGCATCTTCCTCTGAGAAGGTGGTAAGTTTCAGACTGAAACAGCCATAATCACACCAGACATTGCTCCTTATCTTATTGTCTGCATTGCTTTAGGCAAAACAAGAAAACAGTCACTTTCTTTGAGCTTCGAAATGGAGCCAAAAGCCACAGGACTGATTTTGTAGTTCAAATTAAACAAGTTCAGAAGGAGAAGGCAAAGAAACTGCAAGAATGGAAAGGAGTACCTCAGCCCAGATTATTCTGAATCATTGTCTTGACTTCATTATTTACCACTTTCCCAATCTCTCTGTCCTCTGCATAGATTGTGATAATGACTCCCTATTAACA